AGTAGTTTCTGATCTAAGAGTGAACACCTTGACCTTTGACCTTTCTGTAGTGATTCTAAAACTAAATCTAATGCTAAAAAGATTTATTTATATTTTGTCTCCATGTGAGAAAAAGACTTCCTTTTCACCACAACCGCCTGTTAGGCCACATAAGCAGTTAATTAGGGCGCCATCTGCTGGAGGGGTTGATGCTGTAACCCCTCAGAAAAAGAATAATTTCTATTTTCTGCTGTAACACACAAACTCTATCCATCCCTCCGTTTCTGGTGTGGATCATTTGGTCATGGTCGTGTTCTGGGCCATGAAATTCTGATTTGGTCCCATTTTCTGCATCATGTTATTTAAAGGCACTGTGGTTGGTAGACTCCCCCTGCTCTTCCTCCTCCCCCTCCTCCTCCTCTGGTCACAGCTTCACAGTTCAGATTACATGAAAGGTTCATTTATGGGCTGCTCCATGTTAACAGCACACAGATGAATAGAAGTGTCCACGGTTCTGGTCTCCACACGCTCTTTGCTTCATTAAGCCACAGTGTAGCAGGTCATAGGTTCAGTTCCCACAGCAGGGACCGTCGCCTGCAGTGAGGTGGAGACTCTTTGACTCAAATGTTGGGGTTTGACTGAAGCCTCTGATGTTCATTCACATCCTGCAGACACAGAGGTCATGACCTCACCTGAAGAATGACTGCACTTTTGTTTGGATTCAGGTGAAGAAACCACAGACAGCTGACACTTTCAGACGTTCAAGGTTATCTAAAGGATCTGAATTTGTCATTATTATTATTATTATCTTGAGTTGATCATCTGTGTGGCTTCTTCCTCTTCTTCTTCTTCTTCTCTGTCTTCATCTTCTTCTTTCAGCACATCGGTGTCTTCCCACCAGGGACAGAGGTTGTCCTGAGGTGCAGGGGGTTGATGATGAAGACACTTGTTATCAATGCCACTGTTTTTGTTTTGTTGATGACTGTGTCTGATAATTAGCCGACACAGACTTGTGTTAATGGCTGTTGTCAGACACACTTGTTTGGAGTCACTGTCTGTAAAACTGCATCAGACCAAAAAATCCTTTATCCTGAGTAAAAAAAAAACAAAACAAAACAAGAAGAGTGAGGGAAGAAAATACGTTTTATTTAAAGGTGATCGTATTTGTCTCTGTGATGAAATTAGAAGTAAAAAAAAAACTGTAGGATTTGATTTATGAACCTGAGAGAGAGAAAAACATTAGATCCATAAAATTCTTCCAAGGGACTGATGTAAAAATGGAAAACACAAGCTGTACATTTTAGGATGTGAGTTGAGGGAATATCTGACTGTGGAAGAGGAGAGGCAGCAGCATGAATCCTGGTGTCAACTTTGACTCTTCGCTGTTTCAAAACATTCCCTGCTGCAGAGTCCCAGTCAAAACACTGCTGTCTCCTCCAGACATTTGGAGATGACAGTCATCTTTTTTTCTGAGGTTATTGTTATTGAACAAGCTGTTGTTTGTCAGAACTTTGAGTACACAAAAGACATTTTCATTTAGTACCTCAGTCGAGTCACCGAGTACTTTGTTTTGAAAGGTGTTGAAGTGAAGAGAGGACCTGGGACTGAGTGCAGTTTGTGTTTCATGGTTATTTTAATGAGAATATAAACACTTTCCTGTCTGCTGTCACCTGGACCACAATCAGACAATTTGCTAATCGGTGCGTGTCTGTTGAATTCCCACACCATGTGTGATTGACAGCTGGACTGTCTGGTTCCCTCCTGTGTTGTCAAGTGTCATGGTGGTCCACTGGGAGCCCTCCTTTACACACAGACTACACAGTGCTGAACTGGAAGTCTCAGAGCTGCAGTGAGGACCTGGAGCTGTGGTGGTGTCTGCAGTGAAGTGTGAAGAGGGAGGTTATCATCACAGCACAGAGTGGATTTCAGTGATTGGACGTTTGTCCGCTTCTCTATTGACCCTGCATTAAATGTTCATTACCAGGCCCAGTGGGGGGGTGGACGGGGGGGACGGGGGACTGTGAAAACAGTCATCTGGTAACAGACTGGGGACGTTTGTTTGACTGTTGGCTGTTGATGATGGGGTTTTCACACATGAACACTGCTTCATAAAGGCAACTGACCAGGTCATCGAGGTCAAAGTGACCCTTACAGTGAACAGCACAGTTTGTCAGGTGACAATAAAACAGTATTTTATGTAGTACTGTAAATGATTCTTTCTCCTCCACAGGTGTCTGGGAGAGCATCTGTTTATTTTTGCAGTTTTCTTTTCTTTTTCATGTATTTAAGATGTAGAGAAATGATATTAATTTAAAAAACACTGCATAAGCTGTGTCTATTTTTTAAACAGAAAGAACATGAGGGTCGCAGACCCTGAGCAGCACCATGACTGAACAGCCGTTGTAATAAAATTGTAATAATGTTATGAATAATCTGGTTCTCTAAATGTGCTGCTAAAATGTAGATGTCTGCATCTTACTCTCTCATATGTCTCTCAGACATCTGTCTGCAGCGCCCTGGTGGTTGTTGGTAGAGCTGCAGCAGCCTGGACATTTGTCTCCTTGCTCTGTGTAAACTGTCCAGAACCTGTTGTCTGTGTGTCCATGTCCTGAGGCCAGAGCTGGGTAAAGAATGACTTTTACACAGGTTCTACCTGCACCCTGGTTCTCCTCCTGCTCTTCCTGCTCCTCCTGTCTTTGTGAGGCAGCAGTGTAAATCGGTGTATTTTGTCATGCTGCATCATCATGAACTCTGAATGAGAGAATGATCTTCATTTTCCACAACTTGATCCAGTTGGTCTTTTATTGAAGGAGATGAGAAAGGAAGCAGTTGGGCTTTTGTTGTGACCTCAGCTGAGTGAAGTGGACGCTCCTTTGTCTCCTCCACCGTCCCTAACCACAAACTGATGAGTCACTGTGCTGTCTAAGTGCTGCAGCAGCGCTCGTTACCTTCACATGCAGCAGGTGTTACCCTGTGGTTGTCACAGCTGGAGGGAGAAAAAGACAAAGAGGGAGATTATCCAAGGATGGACAGGAGGACGAACCAGAGGCAAGATAAGAAAAGACAAACGGAGACAGAGAAATGCAAAACAGGAGACATGAGGGAAAGCGACAGATGAGGACAATCAGACAGGAAAATGAATGGATGTGACAGACAGACAGGAACATGAGAGGAGGAATGACACAGAGGAGGGGGAGAACAACAGGGTGAAAGATGTAGTAACAGGCAGGAAGAGAGGGTGAAAAAGAACGGAGAGAAGCAGAATCAGGAGAGATAGGCACGGAGATGAGGCGTGAAAATGAAACAGAGGCATAAAGCATATAAGAGGGGGAGAAGGGAAGAGAGGGAGGGAGACAGGACAAGCACTGCAGACAGACAGACAGACAGAGAGACTGATGTGATTCACCATCAGCTGGTGTCTGCACCAATCCTCCTCTTTAACAACCTGCCCCTCCTCCCTCCAAACCCTCCCACCATTTTGTCGTTCTCTGTGTGTTTCTGTTCCAACACCTCGGGGTTTCAGCCTCACATCCACCATCCAACAAACTCCTGCTGCTGCTGCTGCTGCTGCTGCTGCTGCTGCTGCTGCTGCTGCTGCTGAGCCATTTAACTAAACATCACAAACACCCTGAGACAACAGTGGCTCACCAGGACAGAGCTGCAGAGTCACATGTGACTGTGTCATCATCATCATCATCATCATCGTCATCATCATCATCATCATCATCATCATCGTCGTCGTCATCATCGTCACCCTGTTCTTCCCCTGACATGTCCATCACATATCTACGATCCATTTGATCTCCCTGTTCTTCAGAGGTGACAACAGTCAGACTGCTGTCTGAATCTGCAGCTCCACTGCACCTCCCTTCTTTAACCCACTGTGGTAGTTTTTCCTTCCGCCCCTAGCCCATTTCATATATTTATATATGCAGTAGTAGTAATATACATGTAATATATATAGATATTGCAGTGATGTAGTTTAGTGAGGGAGGTGACGTCCGTACCACGGGGGCCTTCCTCTGGTTGGTCTCCACTGATCCAATTCAACAAGTGTGTGGTGTGATGTGTTGACACCTCCTCTGACTCCTTCTGTTCTCTCCTGCCACCCCTCCCTCTGCTCCTCCACTCTGACTCATCCTTTAACTTCTCCTGTGGGGGGAGGAGGGGTGAGTGTGTGACTCACATCATCAGTGTGTGGATTCATTCATTAGGTGGTTGGTGTTGGAGTCCAGCAGGGACTCAGTTCCAAATCCAGTTTTTAAAATTGTATTTTTTTTGCAAAATGTTGACAATATGATTTTTTAATTAAGAAGAGAGTTTGAAACAAAACATTCAGGTCTGGTTTGTTTGTTTGTTTGTTGTTTGTCCAGGTGTAAACTCCTGTTTGTTTGTCATTTACTAACCTAGACTAACATTCATTTCTCAACACTAACTCTGGTTCTGGTTCACAACAATAATCCCAAATTAGGTTCAAATCCTCTGACAGTCCAAAACATGAACTGTTTGCTCTGAACTGAGCACAAGTGTGAATGTGAGTGTGAACGGTTGTGCTGATGACTGCTGGGATTGACTCCACCCCCTATGGCCCTGACAAGGGTTAATCAGTGGGCAATAAATATCATTTTGACACTTCCTGTGTGTGTGGTCGTCAAACCACTGTGAGACGTGAGCCTACAGAGTTCACAGGTTAACTTACAGCTGAAGATAAATCAGCACACGCGCGTCAGTCGTAGACCAGGACATGACGAGGTCGACCTGGAGCACAGGCTGAACGTCAACCTGCCGACTGTCGTCTCTTTATCTCTGATCAAAGTGAAGGACTTTTTGTCTTTATATATGAGACTGATCAGGGACATAATCACATCTCACTCCCCACTGAGGGTCTCCTATGATGTTGCACTTCCATGTCACAGAGCTCACTAATTGAACATGTGGTGTTAATCTAGTCCATTAGCCATCTGTGCTGCGGCACTCTCTGGTGTCACCTTCTCACTGCCACGTCTTCTTCTGCTCTACAGGAGTTTGGAGGACAAGTAGGATGCTGAGAATCTCTCCACACTGTCAATGCTCTCCACCCTGCACTCCATGACCTGAGAGCTTCACCACACCACAGTGGGAGGAACAAGACTACAGAGAGAGAGAGAGAGAGGAGAAGGACTGAAGGTCAGGGAAGGAACTCACTTTTTTTCTGTACCATTTGTTTGTCCTTCCTAACATGGCAGCGACAGAGGCCAGCGCTGCACCTGTGGTCCAGGAGGACGGTAAAACCCTGGAGACCAAGGCGGCAGATGAAGAGCAGCCAAGCCAAAACGCCAACACAAATTCAGAGACTGTGAACGGCGACGCAGACGGTGCCGCCGTCAACAGCGACATGGTGGACAACAAAGAGAGCGATAATACAGAGACAGCAGCTGCAGAAACCGGAGAGGGAGGAGCTGCAGCAGGTGAGGAGGCGGCACCTCCTCAGAATGCAGACCACGCCTCCTCTGCAGAGCCCAAGACCTCGTTCCTTGACTCATTCCTCAACAAGAGTGGCCTGGGGAAGGTGATGGGTGGGAGGAAGAAGAAGGAGCAGAGCACAGCTGTAGCAGAGGAGAACGCCACTGAAGGGGCGGAGAAAGAGGGGGAGAAAGAAGAGGAGGCCGCAACCGCGGAGGGAGGTGCTGAAGCTGAGGAAGCTATTGAGAAGGCTCCAGAAAATGGAGAGAATGAGGAGGTGAAGAAGGCGGAGAAGGCCAAACCTGCAGAAACTAAATCTACGGTTCGAGACCTAATCAGAAAACCTGTGGCCAAGATCTTCTCCCACCGCAGCACAGAGAAGAAGGACGGCGCCGCTGCAGAACCCCAGAAACAAATCAAGGTCCGGTCCAAGTCTCTGGATCGGCTGCAAGACCCTGAAGCACTTAATACCACCGTAGACTCCACCACAGAAGAGGGAGGAGCCACAGGAGAGGCAGAGGGAGGTGCAGAGGGAGATCAGAAGGCCTCCACCTCCTCAGCGTCCACCAAACACGTGAAACGCTGGCACTCCTTCAAGAAGATGATGGCTCAGAAGACACACAAGAAGAGCAGCGCTGGGGGGGAGGACGGTAAAGACGAAGAGGGAGGAGAAGGAGGCGGCAGAGACTCCTCTACACTGGACTCCAAAGAGTCAGGACAGAAAAAGTGGAAACTAAAACGATCCTGGACCTTCCAGGGCCTAAAGAGGGATCCGTCCATGGTGGGCATCAGCGGCAAGGCCAAGAGCTCAGACAAAGACGCCGCTGACACCTCCAAGCCAGAGGAGGGAGCCGCAGCAGGAGAGGAAGAGGGAGGAGATGAGGCAGAGGCTGGAGCTGAGGCCGCCCAGACGGCTGAGGGTGAGGAGAAGGAGAGTGAGAAGGAGACGGAAAAGGCAGAAGGAGGTGAAGAGGAGAAGGCAGCAGGAGGTGGCACTGTGACACACCATGCCAATGAAATCTGGACCAACTTTAAGAAGCGTGTGATTCCTAAATCTAAAAGAGCCAGCACAGAGTGTGCCCCCAGTGGTGAGGAGGATGCAGCTGCAGCCACCACCTCAGGTGAGACAAAAAAAATGCTAAATGTGTTTTTGTTTTTGTGCCACAATCAAAACATAGATACCAGCCTTGACAAAATGCACATTCAGAAGCAAATAAAAAGACACAACAGAATGAGCTTTTAATCCAGTGGAGACGTCTGGGCAGATGTGTGGAAGTCCTTCATGAAACCCAGCGGTGTGATATTGTTAAATATGTAGAAACATATTCATTTTACCTCATTTAACATGGAGGTGATACTGTAGACTTGAGCGAGGATAAGAAATCTCTTTGTTTAACAATTCACACTTTTATCACATCCTGTTCCTCTGGCTGGTCATCTAACATTAGATTCAAGGTTTATTTTATTCTGAGGTTTCTGTTTTCTTTCATCTGAAAAAAAAGGCCTTAAATCCATTTGCACAAGACAGTTTTGCTATTTGCTCTAGTAATCAGTAATTAATTAATTTAAATCATTTTTAAATCAATTTCTCCTCAGGGGAAATGCTGACTCTCTTCCAAAGAGATAATCAATAGAAATTGGATTTCTCTTTCAGACACTTTAATGATGAACTTCCTTCTCCCCATAGGTGAGGAAGGAGCAGCGGAGGACGGCAAAGACGGAAAGTCAGCCAAGGCCAAGCGCTCGCACTTCGGCCGAGCCGTCTCGCTGAAAAACTTCATCATGCGAAAAGGAAAGGCCACCAGCGTAGACCTGGGCGAGGGCGCAAAGGAGGAGGAGGAAGAGGCCACCGAAGCAGGAGAGGCCACAGAGGAAGGAGCCACCAACAGTGAGGCACCAGCCGAGGAGACCAACGACAACGATGCCGCTCAGTCTGAGATGGCACCGGTGGAGGAGAGCGGGGGGGAGACGGAGAAGACAACGACCGAGACTCCTGTGACCCCTGTGACCCCTGTGACCAATGGGGAGAACGGCTGCTCCAACGGTACAGCCGAGGAGGACGCCACACACAATCACCAGGAGGAGGAGAAGACGACAGAGAGCAGCCCCGTGAAGAAGACCAAGGAGGTGGGAGGCGTAAAAGAGGAGACCAACGCCCAGATCATCAACTCCTCAGAGGCTGTGATCAGTGGTGAGTTAGAGTTTGACAACAACAACTCTGACCCGCCACCAAAGTACAGCAGCTGCAAAGATGGAGAAACTAACAACAAACATCAACAGGGGGCAGCAGCACTAACAAACAACGACAGTAACAACACCAAACACAGCCCGCAGGGGGAGCTAGAGGTAGACTACAGCAGGGAGCAGGAAGAGTGGGTTGAGGAGGAGGAGGAGGAGATGAGGAAGAGGGGTCTTCGAGAGGCAGCGGTGGCCATCGTTCACGATGTTATGTCAGCAGCAACTGACCAATTAGAGAAGGAGCTGGGGGTCAGTGAGGGTGTTGATGGATCAGACACTGACAACGTTAGTCATTAAAACACACACACACCTGCATGTTAAATACACTTAAATTTGCCAAAGTTCAATGTGAGTTTTGTAGTTAAACAGACTGTGACACACACACACACACACACACACACACACACTTGTTGAGTGTAGCGGAGGTCAGTCACATGGTCATTTCATTAATGACACATCTATTTTTAAATCAGCTCAGAGTCTCATATAAACACAGCTCTGTTTTAATGATCCACCGTCACACTGAGGTCCAAACTCTGGTCTGGACCACCCAGAGAACCCCACAGAGGAGGGGCTGTAGAGCACACACCTGTCAGGGTAGATATCTGAGGCCAGCAGAGAGATGCCGATGATGGTGGTGTGCAGATGAGGCAGGTGAGGAGATGTTTGTTTGTGGCTGAAGGAGGGGATTGGGGTTTTTCAGCCTGACCAATCGGTGTGCCCAGTTTTCTTCTTCCTGTTGGTCATCATCTCTTCAGACAGATGTTCCCACAGCAGCAGCAGCAGCAGCTGTAGCGACTACGTCACCTTCATCGTGTTCTAAGACACAACACTTGGTGATGCAGATGTCAATCACCCACACCTCGTCCAATCACATTCACCCTCCCACTCTGCTCCTGCCCTCTGTTATCTCTGTCCTTCTCTCTCGGTGTCGTCACATTTCATTAAAAACACGTCAGGTTTTATAAAATGGAAGCAAGAGTCTGAAAAATAGACCAACAGTTGTCAGGAAAATGTTCAGGGACATAAAGGGGAGGAGGAGGAGCAGGTGGAGGAGGTGGAGACAGGGAAATGAAACACATTTGTAACGTGGCCTCGTTTATAGGACAGAATAAAACTGTCACCTTGACCTTGTTGCAGCAACTGTTTCTGCTTTTCTCTGGTCACTGCTTCCTGGGAATAGTAACAGCTCCATGTGTTGTTGTCGTTTTTTCTGTGGATAAGAAAAGCAGTGTCTGAGCAGTGAGTGTGTGTGTGTGAGGCAGGGAGAAAGACTGTCCAGACACTGTGGAGGGGTGGAGGGTGAGGGGGGAGGGAGGGGGTCATTTCTGTAGTAACAGCAGTAACATGTTACTGTAACATTGACTATAATGGTGGTCTGTGACCGGTGGTCAGCTGAGGTACTGCAGGGTTCTCAGGTTCTGGGGCGTCCATACACTACACTATAATAACCAGTTTACAGGCAGAGCTTTTACTGCCAACATTTGTTCTTCAGTCCATGAATAATACATTCACACATTGATTTGACCCTTGACCCTCACCACAGATGGGCGACTCAGGATCAAACATGAATGAACAATCTTTAAATGCTTAAGTTACTCCTTCCTGTTGATATGAACTTAGTAGATGTGAGGCAAGGGGAGGTGATTTGTTATTACTGACTACACAGCTCTATATTTTACATTAAATCAAAGGAATTCAGAGGAAATGAAGTGTTCTAACTCATGCTGGCAGCCTTTTACCAAACTACAGTGCATTATGGGAAATCCTCCCTGCATCCTCAACATACTACAGTATTTTTGTAGAGTTATGTGGAATAACTGATGATGCAGCAGTGATGCTGATATATTTTTCAGATTTAAAAACACTGTTGTTGTTTGGTTGTTGTTGTTGTGGTTGTTGTCTTTGTTCATGGTCTAACGCTGTAGTTCTGGAGTTCTGACCCGTCCGTCTCTTCACAGGTCACATGTTCGACTGTCAGTTCTTATGATCTTTAATACGTTCTCCCAATGTCTTCTGTTATCGTTCACCAGAAAAAAAGGCGGGAAACGTGTGAGGCCACACAAAGAGGATTAGAACTGCCCGGGATTCGCTGAGCAAGGAGCTCACCCCCTTCACCCCCTTCACCCCTCCCCCACCCCTCCCTCCTCCTCCTTCTCCCTAATAAGCGTCGTAATGGCAGGTCACCACGCTGACACAGAGAGAATGACAGAACGAGAGAGAATCCATTCATGTAGTGAAGGGTGAACGAATAATCAGAAAGCAATAATTCACACCCCACCCACCCATCCATCACCCACCAAGCCCCGCCCCCTGCCACACGTGAATATGTACAGATACAGACATTTAACATCCAGTGCTTTTTTATTATTCGTCTTTTCTTCACTTGTCGTAAGATTTTATATTTGTCTACGAGAGAAAAGAAAAAAAAAATGAAGAAAGTAAACAAAAAAAAAGAATTAACCTAGACCACCCCCCGGCCCCTTCTATTGGTGGACTGAAAGAACAAAAAGAAGAAAAAAAAGACTGTTAGTTTTATATGGATGGCCATTTTGGCATGTAGTAATCTCCTCCCTAACTCCCCTCCACCTCCACCTCCACCTCCACCTCACCCTCCCCCAGCCCAGTAGAAACCTGACAGTACAGCAGGAGGCGAGTTGCTACAGTATATAAACTGCCCTGAGGACTGCCACCACCCGACCAACACTGCGATGTCTTCAGCTCTGTGTGTGTTCAATGTTTTTAGACTGTTATTATTCTATTGTGTACATGGATAAAAAAGAAAAGACAAAAACACTGTTGATGCTTAAAGGGACAGAAGAGCTGCATGAGAAACTGACCCTGGTCTACATAAGAACTGGGCGGGGCCACATCAGTGACAGGTGGTAGCTGCAGGGAGTCGAACCCCAGCACCATGGAGACATCACATGTCCCAGCATCCAAGTGTGAACATGTTTGACAGAAACATCGCCCCCTAGGGGCATGACAGCTCTAACACGTAACTGATATCATGTTTTCCGAAAGTCAAATCCAACATCACAGAGGTGATGGAGGTAAACATTGCCTGTGGGACCACTTTGCCAGCCTCTTATTGGACCACACAGCTGTCAATCATGCTCAGTAACCAATCACGTTCATACTCTCACTTTATTTCCATCAACTATGGTTGAGACCAGTGTTTAGTGTGAAGGTCAAGTGAGAGTTGATTTCAGCTTGGCTGTCAAACAGATTAGCAGCAGTTACAGTGACTAAAACAGTGGCCCACCACCATCCAGTTCTTATGTACGCTCAGTGGCCACACACAGCAAAGTTCTTAAAGACAACGGTTGATTGACATCTCAGATTAAAAACAACAACAACAGTACAGTAAGGTCCTCTTGTCTGTGTCAGTTCTGACTGTGTGTCAGCATCTCATAGAATAAAAAACCTCAACTGTCCCTTTAAGGTCAATGTTCCTCTTCTGTTCTGTTTGTTCCTCTTCTCTTTTTCTTTCTTGGTTTTGTTTTATGAAAACCTGTTCTCTCTGTCACTGCAGTCTGATGATATGCTGTAATTAAACCATAATAATAATAATAATGATAAAAATTAATGATGATAATGTTTTGTTTGGTCTAAGTTTTCACATGTCCGCTAGCAAATTGTCAAGAAAAAAAAAACAATAGTACAATAAAGACTAAAATCTAACAACTAAACGGCAAGGCATCATGGGAGTTTTTCTACCTGTTTTAACCTGCTGATTAATGGAGGGCTGTGGCGGTGGTGGAGGGACAGCTAGTGTGTTGTTTAGATGTTGAAGAGTGACCTCTGATGGCGGTGAAACAGAGAGAATACAAATATTCAAGAAAATACACAACTATATTTACAGAAGCGTCCAAAGACTCCAGTGACACCAGTCTGGTCTGTGTCTGTGATGTAACACGGACACAGTCGAAGTCACAGGCGGAACGGTTTTCTCTCAAAAAAAATAATACACACACGTATTGTTTTGATTGACAAACCAATCAGGTTCTTTGAATACTCAGAGGACACGAGACACGTTACAGAAGACACAGGTGTCAGTGTTTTTTTCTCTAGTTGTCTTTACCGCCTCCTGCTGGTCATAATTTAGTACTGCCGCTTGAATATTTAGACTAGTTCATTATTGGATTATTGAAGTGAATGTCATTCATCAAAAGAGGTTTGGATTTGTATTAATCTGGATCAAAACTTAATCTGAAACAACAGCCAGTGAGCAGCAGTTCCTTCAGTGGGAAATGACCTCAACGTAATCATTTATACAATACACACCTGGTGTACTGTTCACTGAAAGTATTAGTATAGTTAACTGGTAATCTCAGGTGAGGTTATCTTCTAAAAATGCACTTTATTTGAATAAAGTGATCGGTTATTTTGAATATAATGATATGCAGTTTACATGGATGCTGATGTGGATGATGTGGTAAAAATTGGATGGAGGGAAATGAGGGAGGGTGGGGGGGGTTCTCTTGAATAACACCGGAGACCCCTGTGCTGAAGTGACAGAGGAGTTCATTTACGGCTTTGGGACAAATACAGATGTATCTGAGCATGAGTGCACACGGCGACCGAGGAGTGAGAGGTGATGATGTGAAAAACAGGATGTAGGAGCACAGCTGTCAGAGAGGAGGTCGAGGGATGAGAGGAGCAACGGAAGGAGACGCTGGAAAGACTCCTCCATGTTTACTAATCAGTGCAGAGGGAGAGCAGACAGACAGAGGAGGGGGAGAAGGAGGGAGCTGGCTCGATGAACAGTCTGAGCCACGGTCGTGCTGACTCATGGTGTGAGAGACCAGACACACACACACACACACACCTGAAGCTCTTTATTGGTGGAGCAGCCGCATCCGCTCCTGTAGGAATGTCAAACATTTGGATTCAGAAAGCATGACTTTTTTCATGCATTGGCTCTTATAAAGCAGAGGTTCGCAACCTTCAGGGCGTGGACCGGTCCATGGGTCATTTTGTACAGAAATAGGAAACATATAATTTTCATTTTACAATGCTGATGGTTGAGGGCCGACCCCGGTCTTTTTCTATCAGGGGTGTCGCAAACCTCAGGTTTAACAGCTTAATTAAAGTCAAGGTCATTTGATATTTTCCTTTTTGTAATTGTACATTTATTTAATGTGAAATTAATTAAAACATGCAAAAGATTTTATTTTTTTTCAGTTTATTGCAGACATAACAGTGAGCAAACATGCAAAAGATTTTATTTTTTTTAATTCAGTTTATTGCAGACATAACAGTGAGTAACTGACATGAACATGGTGTCAGCAGAGAGTCCTGACTCCTGAGTGATGTTGACTGGAGGAGAGACTGATGACAGTCGATTGTACACAAACACTGAGGGCGAGGATAAAGGGACATTCACACATTTTTAACTGACTGATCATTTACTACAGTGCCCCTGTTGACAGTCAGTGACTGATCAGATCAATGGAGTTCAAAGAGAAACACTCATTGATCTGTTATTGATCCTTCTTCAGAAGAGACAACACTGTGTCACAGAAACATTTACATTCAACAATTAAACCAAAGTGTCCATTTGATCCAAACACAACTTTCATTTTAAAATGTAAAAAAAACAAAAACATGTCACTTTCGTGTTTTCAATTACATTTACCAAATGAAATAAAAAAACATTTATTTTAATTAAGGGAAGCAGGTTTTACTTATTTCAGACTCAACAGCTAAAAGTTTAAAACAATAATTTAAATACATTTATATGAAATGTATGTATTTTACGTCAAATATTACTTTTATTCATACATTTTCTTACTTTTTAACTTTCAAAAAAGATAATTACTGTATATTCTTTGATTTAAAATATTTGTTGTTCATAACTATTACTTCAGACCCGTCTTTAAATATTTAAAGCAGAACAACAAAACAATGTTTTAATGTTTAATTAAATGTTTTGTGTGAAAACCGTAACAGCGAATTATTTTGGTTCTTATTTCCTGTTTTAACCACAAGATGCCACTTTAATAGTAGGTAAAGGTAATATTAAAGATAAACAGGAAGTGAGGACCCTGTGTGTAAACGTTGCATGACGGGAAAAGTAACATGGCGGCAAATTAGTTTGGTTAAGTTTAATGTCAGTGTTTTCTGATGTCACGGGAGTCAACTTCAAAGGCTGGATTAAAGGGACGTGAAGGCCAGGTAAGTGTGTGTGTGTGTGTTGCGCGTGTCGTTACTGTAATGTGACCTCATTAAAAGGTGGTGCATGTTAACAGCGCACCATCACTGACGCCATTACGATGAATGGATCTTCACTGTGACGTGATGTCACATTGTGATGTTTGGACGTTTCCGGTCAGTTTCACTGGACGCTGTACATCAAACACCTTCAAAGGAAACGTGTAAATGGCAGCGTGGCTTTGAATGGTCCAGAGATCAGAGACAAAGATCTTTAAGGTCCACACAGAAACAAAGACTGGTTTCACTTTAATATTTTGTATGTCTTTAATGAGGTTTCATCTGTGCAGAGAAAACTAACGAGTCTTCCAACTCGGTTCTATTTTATTTTTTCATTTATTAAATTACAGATATGAAAACGTTTTTAACATAAACGTTTGAGCCAATGTCTTTTCTCTCTGTGTTTAATTAACTTTTTTAAATATTGTAACACAACAAAAATGAAGGTATGTTTGCAGTAGCCAGTATTTGTACTGCAGTAAACGCTGAAAAAGTAGGTGTAAAGTAGGTTTTAGGTGTATGTTTACGTTAACATTTACAACTGCCCTGAAAATCACGATCACTGCCATGTGTATGGTGCCACCTACTGGTCACTAACACGCATCACAGATTCACTGGAAGGATGAAAGGGTTTTAAATGGAATAGGAATAAATCAAACATTTAAATAAAACTATATTATTATCATTTTGATTGTATAATCAATATATTTTTATAAACATGATAGAAAATGACTTTTTGTTAAATCGGAAATTTAGAAATAATAAGGTATCAAAGTGACATTTTTAACATATTACTTTGGTTCATTAAAAACGTACGACAAGAAAGTCCTGTTAAACCACAACTGCTCGTTTAAAATAATAGCAATAAAAATAATCAACCTCACATCAACCACCGAGTGTTTTCAATGCCATATATAATAAAACATTAGTCACGGCTTTTGAAGCAGAGATATATAGTCAGCTCTTTATTAAAGTAAATATAATAATGTGTTTTTTATTAAGATTTAAACAACGTTTTCTACTGCTGACCTATCATCACCGAGTACAGTTTAGTTCAATCACTTGGTAAAAACGTCGCTCATTAACATGAAGAGTCAGATCAGAGCAGACTGATCACTGTGTTTGAAGATGTCATGAACATTAGTTCACATGAGTCGATGTGATGGAGCCTCCAGCTCCATCATCATCATCATCATCATCGTCATCATCATCTGTGACTTGGATCAAAGGATCAAAGTCAATGCGCTCCGCTCGTTAACACATTAAAGAACTGTCAGGTGTTTGGTGCTCGTTTAAAACCGGACCAGATTCAGCCCAGACCCAGACCCTGGGTGGGACCTGGAGCCTGAACATGGACGGAAGCAACAGAGTCTCTGACTTCAGCATCGAGCGCATCCTGTCTTCACAGTTGGGACACAAACCTTGTCCACGTCAACCTGCTCCACCGCAGCCGCAGCTCGTGGACTTCACACCTGACGGGTTCCTGCACAGGTTCACCTCAGGTGGATTCTGTTTGGACCCCGTCAGGCTACGGCCCTCCGTGACGGTACCGGTACAGGTCGGTGGGATGTGTGTGGACGAACCTTTTTACACATGTGGATCGGACTTCACCAGCAGCGGCATTTTCCCCAACTCTGGAGTTTTCCTGCACCTCAGCAGCCAAGAACCCACAGGTATGTGAACAGACCCGGTTCTAAGTTGTTGATAAGTTAATACGTTCCAAGTCTGAAGTTGTTAGTGAAAGGTGCTGGGAGAAAGGTGGATCTGGCACTGGGTGGGTTTGAACTGTTCGGGCTCGCAGTAGCAACGTATTTTGGAGCTCCGTGCAGCGGGTTGACTTGTTAGACCAGACTGTTATTTTAGTTTAAATTATTTAATTTTATTATTATTTAGCTCCAAATGTACAGCGTGACAAATGTTATACTACTGACGGCTCTGTGAGGTTCGGGCTGATGAAGTCAAATCATTGTTCACCAAAACAAAAGAACGCACTCGGTACCAAAGGTACATAAACAAACGTGTCTTGTTCCGTTCTCTTTTCAGAGTCCCCGCCGTTTTCTTATCACCACGGCTACCAGCACACACACATGACCTCACATCCACGTCAGAAGGCCAGGATGAGGACCGTGTTCACCGACTGTCAGACCAAACACCTGGAGGCGCTGTTCGAGGTCACGGACTATCCTGCGGTGGAGGAGCGAGCGCAGGTGGCGAGGAGCACCGGGCTGAGCGAGGAGACGGTGAGGGTGAGTTTGAAAAGACGTCAAGTCTGCCTTATTTCTCAAATCATTTTAATGTTATTTTGAAAATTTGAGTTGTAATTACCCACTGAGCTCAGTGAGTTTTGTTTGAGCTTGTGAGTGAAAAGAGTGTAAAATAAAATCTAACTTGTTGAACACCAGGCTCTGTATTTGGTATTTAACAGTGTAAGAGAAAATGACGACGAATCCAGGTTTAAAAGTTATTTGTTATTAACTGTTCTCTCTCTTGTTTCCAGGTGTGGTTTAAAAACCGCAGAGCCAGGAGGAAGCGTCAGCGCAGTGGGTCAAAGGTCAAATCTCCATGAGACACTGCTGCCCACACTTTGTCACACAATGGACAATGTCAGCCAAACGATGTTGCATCACCTGCACAAAGCTGCTGCAGATGTGACATGTTTACATCGATGATGCGTTCAGGTTACACTGCGGAATTCAGACTTTAATCCCTGCAGCCTCTGGATCAGGGGCTGGGAGTCCCTTAGAGTTTTTTTACTATTTTGTTTTATATTTCAGAGTAATTTATTATTATTATTGATTTATGTAAAAATCACATTTGTAACTACCAAGGATTTGTTAAAAAAATAAACACTGTTGTGACGATGTTGACTAGGTGTTGTCAGCTTTTATTTATTCTTGAATACATTTTTATACTATATATAATATAATATTATTCAGTGTAAAGTTACAATTTTCTGCCAGAGCTCCTCCATTTCCTTGTTGGTAGAAACAGCATTGCCTTTGGCAGTGATGGTCTTTTTATATTCCTCAATTTTTGAAATATCATGTGTCCACATAAAGGTGTTTAACGTGTCTGTTAGATTCACACGTGCAGAATTAACATGAACTTTTAGACTCTTTATGTGGGAAAAAAACAGAAGACAAAGTTACAAAAACATCAAAGTCTTTATTATATTCATGGAGTTACCACTGACATCGTTGATATTAATATTATTATTAGAAGCAATTCCATGCTGAGGAAACACACCGAAAAAAGAAAAAAACAACAACTCTGCAAATACTGAAGGAGAGCGAGAGATATTCACCAGCAGAGTGAGAGAGAGAGAGGTGAACATGCTGTTGGTGTTGGGATGAGAACACCTCCACGAAGGCCATCAACGTCTCACACACTTTTAAAAAGTTGTGACTCTCAGAGAGACACGTGCTACAAAAGCAGTGAATGTTATCAAAATATAGGCCGGACACTCCGTACGTTTGGACACGTATCTGTGTTTGAAAACAAGCATTTACAGAATCAGGAGTTTATGTTGAACACACTGAGTGACTGCACGTTATTCAAACAACTACGCTGGCGGTCTCAGCCAATCAGCTGCTAAAAACATTACA